GTAATAAATGCATTCCTGTCCCAAATTCTTCACTCACCAAAAAGTATCACATCAGGCTGGAGTTGGTTTGAATCCCAGTCTCTTTATGTTTGACTCTGCTCACTCGGATCCTTGAAAACACCAAACCCCTCCCCTGCAGGACAGTGACATAACTCTTCTTCCACACACTTCCTGTCACTGTTTCTTCATTTCTTCCTGAGTGCAACTTTACAGACACCTCTTCAGGGAGGCTGCCCCCAACCTCTGATAATAGATCAGCCTGCCTGTCATTTTCTGACAAAACTCTCCATCAGTTATCTGCTGAGTACCTAAAGCTGCATGGTTCCCTCCCCATCACTATTTTTATTAATTGATTTACTCAAGATAAATATTTCCAAAATCAGTCGGAAATACTTTTTCACAACAAGGATACACATGACAAACAGAGACATGAACAGCAGGTTACTATTTTGTCCCTACCCCCCCCAAAATGACTAAGTTAGATGGTTGCTACTTTCCAGATACTCACCAATTAATGAGGATCCCAGAAATTTTCCAATTTCTTGTTCAACCATCCTGATGATGTTGGCTTTGTTTTCACATGTGTTGACTTAAGACCTCAGAATGGCTGCTGCAGCTCCGACTATCACACCCATATTTAGGAGGAAAGGTGCTGCATACACCCAGTCTGTTTCTTTTATTCACAAGAACAAAAGTTCCCATAGAAGAACTTCAACAGACTGACCCTTACAACCCTCAGGCCAGCTCTGGGACACATAATCAATCTTGTCTAAGAGGAACCAGGGAAAAGCAAGAGTCTTGTTTTAAATAAAGAGAGGGGAAAATATACAGATAGGTTGGTGGATAATGTGTGCTGGGTCACCAAACTTCCTAGTGCACTGCCCCACCCCCAACATGAAAAACACCTCAGATTAGAGACTATGTCTTCCTCATGCTGAATGTGCAGGATGGAATGTGGGTCAGACAAAAGTGGGTCTGAATAAGTAACTGTTGGGTGAATGTCCTCCTGTCTCTGTCTTTGGAGCAGTAGACACCACCGCCCTACATTGGCTCTGCACCCACAGTCAGCACCAGTAAGAGCCAGTCCCTGAGCTTTGTGAAACCCACTGCCAAGCCCTGGTACCACCGTCATCACCACCCGCCACCCCAGAGGTACAGGCAGGGATGCCTCAGGTGGGTCCTGCCACCTCCTCCAAATGGGCCTGTTCATACTTTCATGGGTAATCTGAGCTCTTCATGCTTAATCTTTAGACAGGCAGGGGTCACACTGAGAAGAGAAATTCCTCTCCTGCAGCAGAGTCCATGGATCAGGGAATCAGGGACCTGAGCAGCAGGTTCTGAATGTACACCTGGACCAAGGATGTCCCTGAGCCTCCAGCAGCCAGTGTGGAATGGCCACCAGGTGGCAGAGAGAGTCACTTGACAAAGTCACTTGGGACTGGGCTAGGCATCAGAGGGATTCTAACTTGCAGGAAGGTTAGTGACCAAGACCTGAGAACTAAAGGAAAATCACATCGTTCTTGACATAATGTACAAATTCTTTGGGCCAGTGTCTCTCAGATCCAGCTCTTATAGAATTTACCTATTTCTCTGGCACAAGTCCAAGCACTTCATTTCCTTTCAGTCCACCCAATCTTGCTAAAAATCTGTAACTGCCAAATATTTCGCAAGCACCAAATCTACACCTGGCCCTGAGCAGACACTGAAGAAACTGAGGCACAGTTTCTATGATCTGCCTCAGGAGCTCACACCAAGAGCGGAAACTTATAGCACCTTCATGAATCTGAAAAAACTCCATTTGCACTTGGCAAGGGAGGAATTTTATTTAAACTGTGCAGCTCAGGAACTGTGCTCTGGGGCAGGACACAGAACCTGTCAAAAACTCATACTGTAAGTTGCAGAGTGGGGTCAGGAACTGCAAACAGATTCAGCTTTGCACTCTGCAAAGCCATGGCATACTCTGGGGTGAAGGTGTCAGCACAGATATGGGACCAGTAGGTGACAGGGATCATGTGGGCTGAGAGTGGGTCTGCAGGAGCCACCCTTTCCCACTCTGGGGCCCTGGGGCTGAGCCCTGTTCTGGAAACCATAAAGCTCCTCAAGCAGCAGCCCCTGAGCTTGGGCTGATTTGCATCAGGGGCAGCTCCCTCCAGCAAGGGGATAAGACAGGCCTGGGAGGAC